TTTTCTAGGGGGGGGGGGGGCGCAGACAAGCTTTAGGGGGGGCTCAGCCCCCCCTGGCGCCCCCCTCGCTACGGGCCTGTACCCACCTATAAATTCATATAGATAGAAATGTCATTAAAATTGTTGTTTAATAGAGTCACGATTTGTTCTTTTATGTGTTTTCCTATCGATTTTGTAACTCCCTACATCAGTCATCTAAAAGCGTTGACAACATAAATTAGGACGTTGAGCTAATTAAATAAATTATAAATCATGTTTTGCAATTGTTTAAAATCAAAATTATCATTCGCAATTATATTCTCACGCCACCAGTACTAATGCGCGTTATATGTGTTAGTTTTTGTCATTAGTCTTCCTTTCGATTTGAAGGGTACAGGAGAAAAAACCCGTCAGTCAATTTTTCAAGGAAACGAAATAATGGTGCCATCAAGCGGTTGCTAAAATGTACTATTCGAATGGCCTATCATCATTTATTCAAAACCCCGTTAGTCTGTTGAATTATATGTTTGAAAATAGGCGGTACTGGGGAAAAATCCCGTCAGTCATTGCGCGTGTATGGAAAAACCCCGTGAGTCAATAATAACGGCACTTCTAGCGGCCAGCTTTGCAAGCCTGTTACCTCTCTCATTTATCGTTTTGTCCTTGATCGTTAAGTGTGTTTCAAAACTATGTAAAGTGAGTACTCGGATAGTGGCAATGAAGGCGATGGATTTTTCAATATACCCACAAGTAAGAAGCGAAAAAAAACTGGTAGAGCCAAGGATGTTATGAAACGTTTACGAGCCGGTACTCACGAGCTTAGCCCGGATTGTTTGTGCAAATGGCTTAAATGCTTTCAAAATGTTCCAGAAGAGGATCGTAAATGAATTATTCGGGAATTCAATTTGCTGGGAGACAAAGCTAAACAAAACGCTTATTTGGGTGGCCTCATCACTTTGTTACCGGTGAAGCAAAGACGACCAAGAAATGCTAACCCTAGACATAACGCTGCTTAATTTTCATATAGAGTTCGTGGGATAAAAGACAATGTTTCATGTGATGTTCAGGTATGCTTAAAAGCATTCATGTCATGGTATCACTGAAGATAAAGTTAGGTACATAAGAGGGGGGTCTCCTTGCTACTGGAACATCTCCTTATGACCGTCGTGGAAAACATTCCAATAGACCCCACAAACTTTCACATGAGACCATGGAAAAAGTAATGAGCTCCTTGAAATCTATTAAAGGAAGAAAATCGCATTATTCATTTAAAGATACCAAAAAAATATACCTACCTGCTGAGTTAAATATTTTGAAGCTACACACCATGTATTTATCTCACAATCCAGAACATAAACTGTCCTACGAATCATTTCGAGGGATTTTTGAGAGCAACTTTAATTTTTCATTTGGCTACCCAAGTAAGGACACGTGCAGTTAATGCGATTCGTTTAAAGCACAGATTTCAGCGCTTGAGGAAAAGTTTAAATCCGACCTTGCTATCAACCTGGAAGAGACAAGAAAAAATCTGCTAGTAAAACTGAAGGAGAAAGACGTACATTAAAAGAGGGGTGAGCATTTCTATAATTTAAAAAAAGTTCCATGAAATCTTCAACGATGGAAGCCATCGCGATGGACTTTCAAAAAAATTTACCATGCCCCAATATCACCACTAATGATGTGTACTACCGACGCCAACTGAACTTCATTAGTTTCAACGTTCACATACTCTCAATGCAGCAGGCAGTTTTTTACACTTATGATGAATCTGTGGCGAAAAAGGGTGCAGATGATGTATGCTCTATGTTTCGGCATTTTGTATTTAATATTTTGCCTCTGGAAGTACGTGAACTGTGTATATTTTGTGACTCATGTGCGGGCCAAAATAAGAATTATACCTTCATCAGGTTTTTACACCATCTGGTTACAAGAGAAGGACGTTCTGACACCATTAAGGTCATATTTCCGATAAGGGGCCACTCTTACTTAGAGTGTGATCGTAATATGAGCATAGTTAAACAAAACTCATACACAGAGGTTCCAGATGATTGGAGGGAGGTCTTGAGGAATACTGGAGTGAGACCCACTCCATTTACTGTGATTGATTGTGGAGTGGATGTGACTTTTCAAAACTGGCCTGATCACCTCTCGTCACTTTACCCAAAAAAATGCCCATTTCCCACCAGACCAATTCGAATGTTGAAATTTTCAGCAACTGGAAGAGATCTTGTGTTTTATAAACAATCTTTTTTTGGCATGTATACATCTTCAGCACTTCAAGGGAATAAAAAACCACAGAGGAAAAACACCAAGAACTCTTCCGCTCCTGTTATGCCACTGGAAAATTTGTATAGAGGAAAACATCCAATAAAAGCTGCAAAACATCGCGATCTCCTCCATTTATGTCAGTTCTTGAAAAGTTCAGAGGCAACAATTTTCTACCAAAATTTAACTTCAGACAAAGTTCTCAATGGAGAAAGTGATGAGGAATTCGCTGACGACCCCCCGATGGACGAGGACTTACCTGAAGAAAAGTGATTATTGTGTAAAAATATGTTCCTTTTATTCAAAATATAAGTTACTGTTTTTATTTTTATGCTATTGTGTGTTCTTTTTCAACCCTCCATGAAATGGAAAACATTCAAAAGTGGTTTTTTCGCAATCAACTGTATTTGACTAACGGGGTTTTTCCCCTGTACCCTTCATTTAAAATCAAGGAATTTGTTATTTATTATTTGTAAAATATCAATTTTACAACTAATCGATTTTTCGCACTTTGTTTTTAGTTTTTATGGTAGAAGAAGGTTTCATTAACTTACAGTCCATTTTTAAAAAAATTATCACTCTTTTGTTGGACAAAATCACTACTTTATCAGGAGCACTGTTTCACTTGTTTACTGGATGAATATCAACTCAAAATTTTTATCTAATATTATCTACAGATTTGAAAAAAAAGATTTTGTATGCATATTTAAAATTGTACTTTTATATATTATACTGCTACTTTTAACTGGCAATTTACCGGCATCGAAAATAACAAATCCTCCCAAAAAACGAAAAAAAAAAATTTGTATTACTTTTTATTATTTTTTTTTTTTTATTCATACATCCAACGGAGAAGACCCATTACAGAATGCGCAATATACATTAATAAACATTATGGGTGAAAAATACATTATAAAATTAAACTATAAATAGCGAGATTGTGTGAGAAACAAGATTATTCACACATAACGCATTTGTAACAAAGCTAGAATATAAAATATATGAAAAAAGAACATTACAAACAAGAAAGTATACATATATAAATTATTTTATAAGAAATATATAAGGGATCAGGTAAAGAGATTTTTAATATTTGAAATACTAGTAAAAAATAGATCAATATCTCCACTTAAATCATTAACCGTGGACAGCATACGATGCAATGGAGACTGACAGTAAATTTGTTCTGGGGTCGAAAGAATGAATGTACAGCTATGGCTAGAATTGATTCTAGGCACAAAAAAGGGTAGTTTCCATGAAAATAAATATGGAGACTCTTAATAAAACGTCGCTGAACCTTTTCTAAAGTTAAGACGTGTGTATTATAATTAGGGGACCATATTACTGAGGCATATTCAAGTGTGTTGAATAACAATTTGCAAGTATCTGGATTATTAAAATTTTTGATAGACCGTAAGATGGAACCTAAAACTTTATATCACGACGCGACAGTTACGGCAAGATGATTACTGAATGATAATTTTAGGTTTGTTCCCAATTAGATGTTATGATTAGTTTGCAATTAGTACTTGAACTGACCTAAGTGCATGTCATACATGAGCTACGTTACAAATTAGTAAAAGTTTTGTTCTATTGGGAACCCTTATAATAGAAATTGTCATGAATGACATTAGAGGTTGGGTAAATTGTCCGCTGGATATAGCCCCCGAAAAAAAGAAGGCCTACCCAAATAGTTTTCGTTTTTTTTTTCTGGGCTCTCCATACATTACAAAAAACTCGTCTTCTTCGTAATCACTCGAATCACTACTTGACGGAATACTGTCTTCGTCGCTCATTTTTATAAAAATACCGACAATAACAATAATAATTGTCTCTACACGAGTATTATTAGTCGCCAAATTATCAATAAAAAGTTGGGTTAAGTTTACCGAATATAGATGGAGATCGTTTTGAGCATGCGTTAACTTTTCGTACATGCTTTTTAGCAAGGACTGTTTTGACCTTCCGCAAACTAATTAATGTACTAGTTTGTGTTTATTGGGAACAGCCAACCCATCGTGCATGTACTATTCTATAAGTGATTGGGAACACTTTTATGCTATTGCGCAATTGCAAACTATTCTTGTACAATCCTAACTGCGATTGGGAACAAACCTTTTGAATCGAATACAACGCCAAGGTCTTCAATCGTGTCAGGCCTCTGCAGGACGACTCCTACATTGTAATCGTATCTTATATAATCAATCTTTAGCGTATATGACATAACGTTGCATTTTTCAGGATTTAAGGTAGTTCACTCGCGACAGTCGTACATAAAAATATCGTGTAATGGTGAATACCAAAAGTTCGAGATTCTCAATGCTAATCAATTTTATTTTTGTAAGAGACTGTACAAAACACACTCTTAGAGTGATGCTCCATATGAATCCATGATAACGCTGGCCGCGTGCGGCAGGAAAATCGCGGGCTTGTCATTTCTAATTTTTAGCCGCGTGCGACCACGCAACAGAACCGCGTTAATGGGCTTTGAGTCATTTAAAATCATCTAAAGTATTGCCGCGCGCGATACCTCGCGATCAGTCGCGCGCAACGTGTCGCATGAGTAGGCTTTCCCTCTTAGGGAGCACTTCGGACATGTGTAGCAGGTAGCAGAACAATTATTAGCGAAGTGGTGGAAGTTTCAACATTTGAAACAACGCCGTAAATCAATAGCCTTAAAGACGCTACAAGAATCATAACCGACAAAAACGTGATCAACTTTAATTAATCTAACAAGAGCTTGAAAAACTTTATTATTATTTCTCAGAGATTATATTGATAATAAATCGCATTTGCGATACTACTGATTTATTTTGAACTTTAAAATAATTTAGAAAAATATCATTATCAAACTTTTCAGACAATCCAACAATTCTAACTCTAGGGTTTAGAGGAGTAACTTCCTTCAAAGAGTACTTATTATCTAATTTTGTATGGACTAATTGCTTAAAGTTTTCGTTTTCACAACGTATAGCAATTCCACCTTGTCCTAAATTTCTAACTTGTGTAACTTTTAAATCTTCTTTTATTGGATTTATTTTATTGAGGATCTCCGACTTTGTGCTGTTTGAATCCTGGTCAAAGTTGTTTGTTGTTACGATGAAGGTTGAACCAGTAGCAATATTAGCATATGATCTTTTGCTACCAGTTGGGATATCGTTTTTAGTAATGTGTTCAAACATATTTGTAACACATGCTTTAATATTATCGGTGTTTGTATCTGAGGTAGATTTAACGGTATTTTGGACAGCATTCTGGAGTTCTTTCACCTTGTTGTCAACCATGATTTACAGATCATTCTTAAAAATTGTAAACATAATATCATTAAATTTGGAAAAAATCCATCTACTTCCTTTTTAACTAAATTTAAAAGATTATCATTCGAGAGATTATCATGCAGGGTTTTTACATTAGCACCTATGTTAACAATATTCTCTTTTAATTCTCTTGAACTTCAAATTTTCTGTAACAACCATCGCAAATATATACTAGATTTTTTAACTTGTTTAAAACTTTAGCTATGTTTGCGGAGCCGATCCCAAACATATTCTGAACGCTAAAGTTAACCCTACACGCCTACATAAACCTTTAAATAATAAAAATCCAGTTATAATATGCAGTGTAAGTTTCACCTTAACGTTCAGAATACGTTCGGGATCGGCTCCGCGAACATAGCTATAGGTTGCCAGTCTCTGAGGAAGAGATTAGGGACTTAATAATGTCACTCAAAATAAATAAAGCACCGGTAATAAATATTTTGAAAGCAGATTGGATAGCGAGCTAACCAGAACTATTTTCATATTCTTGATATTTCCCAGTTGGATGTCTCTCCATATTTTAAACAGCTATAGTTGCAGTAGTTGCACAAACTACTACTTATTGGACTTGACCTTAGAACCTTTGTATAAAATAATTAGCATGTTGTTTTGGAAACGATTTCTGTATAAAACCACCCCTGTTGGAAATTTTGGCTTCGTTGAATGTTGAGAAGAAAACGCACTTCGAATTTCTAATGCGTATTCTCCGACCCTCCCCAATTTTGGATGTCTCTATAAATCACTACATTTTAGGTTAGGGAACGGGATATGGGCTGCGAAAAACTTTACGGGGTAATACTGTCTTACTAAGGATTATCCTTGTTTCTTAGGGTGGTTTCGAAATGGGTCTGAGGTATTAAATAATCCTCGAACGGAATGTACATTTAAGGGTATCTGTTCTAGTAATGGTAATTTTAACATTTATTTCCTGATATCTGAATATATTTTATTACATGTAAATTACATTGGACTATAGTCTATTTGTATGTATAAGAGAGTAATAAAACAGCATTTCTAATGCATAATTTAGTACGGTCATTTTAAATATTTTTACAGAATAATCGAAATATTTCCTAAAATTGTAATAAATGTACCTGAGCTATTACAAGTTTTGGGTCTTTTATTGGTCCTTTATAAACATAAGCTGTACAGAACAATAGAAAAAGGTTTGGACAGGCCGAAAGCCCTGTGTATTAAAGATTACATAGCCGTATCTTAAGATTATTTTCAATAAGTACCTATTTGCCAATTTTGTTTTATTTTAATTCCAAGAATTTCTTACAGTAATCGAATTATAAGTAGATAAATACCTTCCCAATAAATTTCACCGAAAATGCGATTATAGGTTTTCCATTTAGTAAGGAGGTCCAAGTTGTGTATTCTTGACAGTTTACTAAATGTCGTTTAGTTGTAACTTGCAAGGTGCAGTGTGAATTCTAGTGTGATCATGGAAAATTTGGAAGGGCCGCGTAAACGACAAAAAATCGGTCCTTTAACAGTTAATGAAAAAACATTAATATTTAATTGTTTTAAATCATTTACAGACAAACATTTATGTAAAAGTGTTGATGACACAGTGGAATTAGTTAGTAGTACGCTTGGTGTTGGGAAATCTACGATTTACAGAGTTGTTAAAGAAGATAAATGTGGCGAGTTTCAAACAGCACGTAAAGCTCCAGGAAAACCAAAATTTCAATTAGAAAATCTTTTGAAAGAAAGACTTCGAAGGAAAGTGCATGCGTTCTTCTTTAAAAAAGAATTTCCGACAATAGACAAAGTTCTTGCCACGGTTCAAGATGATAAGGATTACCCTGAAATGAGTCGAAGCACACTATGGAAACTTTTAAAAGAAATAGGTTTTCTATGGAAAAAGCATTCCAGAAAGTCTATTTTAATAGAAAGAAGCGATATTGTAGTATGGAGAAGAAATTACCTAAGGACTATAAAAGAAATGAGAAACCAAAGAAGAAATATATTTTATTTAGATGAAACATGGATCAACGAGGATATAAACCAAATAAATTTTGGCAAGATGAAACTGTTACAAGACAGGCTTTTTTAAATAATTTATCTACTGGTTTAAATCCACCATCAGGAAAGGGGCGCAGACTAATAATAGTACATATCGGTAGTTCAAACGGTTTTGTTAAAGGTGGTTTATTCACTTTTGAATCTACTCGTACCGGTGACTACCATGAGGACATGAATGCTGATGTCTTTAAAGAGTGGTTCGAACAAATTATAGATCTTCTTCCTCAGAACTGTATAATAGTAATGGATAATGCAAGTTATCACTCGAGACTTATAGAAAAATGCCCACAACCAAGTGGTTAAAAAAAGATTTACAGAATTGGGTAAATTCAAAGAATATTAAGTTCCATCCCGGTTCTGTGAGAAAAGAACTGTATCATTTGTGTTCCCTTCATAAAGATAAATTCAAAAAATATGAAATTGATGAAATTGCAAAAAATCGTGGGATGACGGTGGTTAGATCACCACCATATCATTGCGAAGTAAACCCGATTGAACTGATATGGGCACAGATAAAGGGAGAAGTTTTAAGAAAAAATAATTCTTTTAAAATGAGTGATGTTAAACAGTTGTTTTTGGAGGCTGTAAATAATGTGAAGCCTGAAAACTGGGAAAAGGCAGTAAATCATACGATTAAAGAAGAATAGAAAATGTGGAATTTGGACAATATTACTGATGAAATGATCGAGCCACTCATTGTATATATTGGTTGCGACAGTTCATCTTTTGATTTTGATTCTGATTTGGATTTGTAGGTAAGAAGTAGTTTTTATATTAAAATTATCATTTATGAACGTAACGTTGTTTAAAAGTCAAAGTTTAAACCCTTATACCTACATAACCCGTTTGACACAATGTTCTTAACATACCTTGTGGAAAAATAAAACATTTTAGGAAAAATTGCACTTTTTTACCTTCAGCTGTTTAGAAGTTATAAGCAGGTTAATTAGGTGAAAATATAAGTCGAGGAATAACTTTTTTAACTGTCTACTAAAAGAAGTGGTACGCCTATGGATTACGAACGCTTTATTATTTTAATTCTCTCTCATACATAAAAATAGACTATAGCAGGTTTTATTTGTTATACAAGAATAACACATAAATCAAATTAATGGAAGTATAAGCTATGATAATAGTAAAAGAGCCCACTGAAAATTTCTACGGTCATCTGATAAGGAAATGTAATATGCTCCAAAGGCATGTAACAACATTCTACTATACCAAACGATAGCTGTGCCAATCACTATCCTATATCACATAAGACATCACAACGATAATTTTGTTTTCCCTAAAAATTCCAATCCCAATTAATTGTGAACCTAGCTTTTATACCTGAATTATTATTATTATTATTATTATATTTACCTACCTTTTTAAATATGATATAACAGGATACTAGCGCTAACTGCGAATAATTCGTTCTTTAGGAAATTATATATATTATCTATTATAATAACAGAAAAGAAAGTAAATAGTAGGTATTTCAATTTGATGGAAAAATTAGATGAATAGGTATTTGAGTTCTATTTCTTAGAAATGAAATTACATTTAGCATACCTATTACCTATCTACAAAACATATTTAGGATGAACTGAAAACTAGAAATATATAGTTAATGAAGAGCTTAATAAAAATGCAGAAATTTGGCAGGTACAAAAAATGTGTTTATTTTTATATAGTTTATTTTATTTGTAATATTTTTTCTCAATTGAACTACAAGACTACCATTAGTTGTTTGGATTGATTTTCTAATTAAATAGAGGTTCTTTCTTCAGGTAAAATGTAGCAAAGTTGTGTATATTATATGTTTGTGACAGGTCCTTTGAAATCAAATAAATAAAATGGACCAGGATCATCACTAAACGAATGTTGTTCCCACTAGCAAGATGTTATATTCAACAGTGGAAGGTGTAAACTTGTTGGCAACAGCTTATTAAATGTATGTAAAAGTCCAAGAAAGTGTAATGGTACCAGCGTTTACTATAATATTAATAGTTTTTATCATTATTCCATTTTGTTGTAGGTAGGATTTATAATTTATGAAATAAATTCCACAATGTGTATCCGAATGTCTTTGGTCTTCTCGAAAACAAATTTTTGTACAATATAAATCAGATGGTATAATTTTTTGAGACATCCTTTAAGTATTTTGAAAATTAAATGCTTATTTGCAGGTAAGATAATATAATCTTAGTTTTGTATGATCATTTATAATATAGACAAATAATTAATTAAAAATTATTTATAAAAAAAGGCAATTTGTAACTTTGCTGCAGCAAAAGGATTTGTTACACACAATTTAATATACATATTTTTTTTTAACAAATAAAACATCTTTAGTATGATCGGGTCAATTATAATTTTAATAATTCAGCACTACATATGTTTCCGAATAAAATTCAATATTCTGGTGTAGTCACAGTTTGTTAAAATTAAAAAAAAAAAACATTTAGGGATATAACAAATACTTGTTACGTTTCTTTTGCTGCATAAAATAATAACAGTTATAAGTGCCTAGCTCAGCTCAGTATATGGGGTGGTTCATATACAAATTTAAAGAAAATGATTATTTAACCCGGCGCCAAGTAATTTGAGCGGCGATGGAAAATTTAAAGACAATAAAAAATTACTAAACTTACTCTCTTTAGTGAGACTTCTTGTATAAGGGTAAAAATAAATAATAAGAGGTAGAATTTCAATAAAGCCAAAAAAATATATATTAACTTTTCTTCAATATTTATAATAATATTAAGATTGCCCTAAACTCTTGCAAGAGTAGCTGATTTTGGGAATCAAGACAAACTTAAACCCCAAAAATAACTCTATCCCAAAACCAGTTACACAGTTAATAATGTAGAATAACTAAACTTAAATACTATTTATAGAAAAGAAATAATAATAAAATGATTCCCACAGCGGGGTACTTATTTTTAAAG